ATTTATCTTTCGCAAGAAAAAGGAGCGGAAAGAGCTTCGCCTTGATATTTTGGTGGACCCCTTCCCGCCCCCCACGGCCAATTTCTTTTCGCCGTTCTTGTGGCCCGCCACTGCCCACCACCGCCGATCTGCTCAAGGGTTCGTCGTGGTCGTCTCACCGTATAAAAGCAGTGGATCTTCTTGGTATCTCATCAGTCGCAAAACAACGACGAACCAAGTCCAATAGCGCAACACCATGAACGCTAAGGTGAGCACTGGTGGCGTGTGTGTGGATAGGTTGAAACGGTCCTGAGGATCAGTCATTGCTGAGGATCAGGACCGAATTCATCGTGGAGGGTTGGCACACGTGTCATTCTCAAATTTCGCAAAGTTTACTTCTATTGAAACTAAGTGCACGGAGATTACTTTGGAGAATGTTTCTCACCTTCGTACAATCAGTGAGCTCGAATAGTGAAAACGGAAAAGAATCTTTAGAACTTGTAACTTTCGTTACCATGAGAGAGTGATTTTTCCGAAGTTACAGTTAACCCTAGTGCGTCACTTCCTTACCGACTGTACGCTTAAGGTGTTTGGGTCAGAAAAGACCCGAAGACCTGATGTGTAGCAAATACGAACCTAGACGATAAACTTTCGATACAATATTAAAGGGAACGTAGACTTGATAACGGCGAAAGTTATCGGGTCGAAAAAGACCCGAAGGCTGCACTAAGGTTAGGTTGTAGTTGAGATTCTGTAAAAATCTGTCGCATTTCTTCCAGCTCTTCTTCATTTTTGCCCTCGTGGCGGTAGCCTTCGCCCAAGAACAGAACGCTGAGGAGACGAAAAAAGAAAAGAGAGGAATCTACGGAGGATACGGTGGTCTAGATGGTGGATATGGTGGATATGGTGGATATGGTGGATATGGTGCAGGTGTAGGTGTAGGTGTACCAATTGGAATCAGCCAAGTTGTGACCAAGGAAGTCCCTGTTCCCGTGCCACAACCTGTCCCTGTTCCAGTTGAGAAACAGGTTCCCGTCCCGGTCAAGGTAAAACAAATTTTTTCTCGATCCTATTCTACGACAAAGTCTCGTAGATACGTAAAAATAGAGGCAGTGACAGATTTAGAGATAGACGCCGGTTAAGGATCGTGAAATAAGAAGATTGTGTCATCGTGGTGTGAAATCGAGAGTGACTCGGTCAGACAGTTATGTCACAGTTTAGGCGGGACTATTTGCAAAAAGAGAGTGATTTTGATGCGCGTTCATATCGGAACCAAGGTGACCAGCTATGAAACGAAGACCTCGGGGACTTGGAGCACCTAATCACGCTCTGTTTATCGCGGAATATCTGCTCGCGTGATTGCCTTCATCATCGGACGTCAATTAACGTTTCAATGTGAACCAGTGCTGAGATTTCGTAAGCCGGGAATAGTACAAATCCCACATGTGCGTGCCTGGTTTCTCGGAAAACTTCGCGAAACGATTTTACGCGCGTTTCGCCACACTATACATATGATCTGAAATTACGAAACTCCGACTTTTCTCCAATAAAGTGACCGAGAGTAGGGTAATAGACAAAGTTGCATTGGTAAACGTATATATTAAAATTGTAGAAACTATCGTAATCTCGCGTTATACCAACATTTCTGCCTACTCTCACGAATGTTCTCCACTCTAGCTCGTCGTAGCTTAAAGTTTCACCTAAGTCACGTCATTCAACGCTAGAAGTACCTGGGTCAAAAATGACCCACCAGAAACTTTTCAGAATCGAATTTTTCAAATTCACTGCAAAGTCAATCAAATTGAAAACAAACGATACCACTTACCAGTATCGAACATGTGTTTCTTTCTTCTATTTCTTTTGGAAAACTAGCAATGGGTCATTTTTGACCCGGTCGATCTTTCTATTAACCCTTTACACTCGAAGCTCTTTTTGCTATGGGTAAATTGCAAATCAGATTCATTTCTATATTTAATGTATTTTTATATTACACAACATCTTGCAACAGTTCATTACAGATTGCTTCTTTCAAACCATTTCGCTGCTTAGACATTTACGAGAGGCCCATAGACCTATTGTCCGGTAAAATTAATTTTTTACCAAGTGGTAGACAATAATGTCGCTTCTCTGTTGCCACTCGAGTGCAAAGGGTTAATTATACAAACATTTCCTATCTTCGATCCTGCTAACCTTCGAAAAATCAAAGACCAAAGAAATTCTATAACTTCCAGTTAAGTCTTTCACTGCAAAGTCAGTCAAATTGAAAACAAACGGTAACACTCACCAATATCGAATATGTGTCTTTACTTCTTTTTTTTTTTTGGAAAAACTAGCAATGGGTCATTTTTGACCCGGTCAATCTTTCCAACGTTAATTCTACCAAGATTTCCGATCTTCGATCCTGCCAAACTTCGAGAAGTCGAAGACCAAAGAAACTCTAATCGTCGAATTAATGACAATATTCTCGTGATGTTCTCCAGGTACCAGTCGCCGTGCCCGTAGACCGGCCCTACCCTGTCCACGTGCCAAGACCCTACCCAGTCGAGGTGACCAAGCATGTCCCAATTCCCGTTGACAGGCCAGTTCCTGTTCCAGTCAGCGTTCCGGTCAAGGTCCCAGTGCCAGCCCCGTACCCCGTCAAAGTACCCCAGCCCTACGCCGTTCCAGTCGTGAAGCACATCCCAGTCCAGATCGCGCAACCAGCAGTCGTTCTTGAGCAGTACAAACAAGGCTGGCCAAGCGGCGGCTACTCCCACGGCTACTCCGGTGGCTGGTAAATTCAACAGCCCTAAATCGTGGACTCCTGGGAGCTAGCTTTGGTCATCACGGTGAGACGGCTCGACGTTTGATAGAAATCTGAGCGATCGTTGGATCCCGCGGCTAACAGAGAAAGTTCCTCTCAAACGACAAACGACTTTCCTCGGGGCAATCCTCGAGGGACAATCGCCGAACGTTCCTGAAAGCAGACCATCAGAAAGAGACCATCACGCTCCTCCGTTCGAATTTTGTTTATTTCCCTCTCCAATTTTCTTCGGATATATCGTTATAACTACGTCCCCGATGACGCGAAGATTTGTTCCCCTGGAGTAACCAGGCGATTTGGCTGCCTGTTTCTTCTCTTGGCGTTTTCGAATCGGTGAGATTCGATGGTGTACATTCGAAAGATGAATCGACAAGATCGCGCGTTTCTCCGACACGTCGGAGATCGTTTCTTTCTATTCTGATAATCGATTCGTCCGTTTCTTTTGTACATGTAACTCGACGCTCATTTTGCATCGTAGAAATAAACGTCTCTTTTCGTACAAAATGCAAGTGTCTTTTCCTTTTTTGTTCCCATTTAAGTAGGATGGAAGTTTGAATCTACGTAAGGTTAAGTTTTGGTTCTCGATGCAGTTTGACGAACCGAAGGAAGGTCGACAAGGTGTATAATTCTCCTCAAGGTAGTAAGTAACATCCAGTCGCGAGTTCTGTAATAAACGAAAGGGACGTGTAAATACGGGCGAAAGAAGCAATTGCGACTCGTTAAATGAGTAAAGGGTGCATTTTGCCGCACGCGATTAACCAAATTGAATCCTATACAGTTCGAGTGAAGTCGTCAAATTATTCGAGCGTTCTGCACTGATCACACTGGCGATCGAATTCCCCATTATCAAGGAAAGTCAAAAACACACTCTGAAATATTGCAAATTTAGCCCCAAAAGTGACAAATAAAATTTTCCAGTAAAAACAAGAAATTACAGCTAAAAACTACGAAGTAAGAAAAGAAAACTTAACAAAGGCATTTTATACTGATGATGAGTTGACACAGACCAAAGAAACGTAACATAATTTTTATTTATTTTTATTTTATTTGATTGTTAATCAACGGGTTGAAATTCACACAAAACAGTAGTATAATGTACAGTACAAAATAACGAAGAAAATCAAAGAAGAGGAAAAGAGAAAGAAAAATAAATGAAATAAAATAAAATAGAATAAAATGAGAAAACAGAAATATAACAGAATAACACGCAAGACAAAGAGTAAATTAAGGATTATTTACAGCGGTTAGAACGGAGTGTTTAAACGATAGATAAGAAATCCCGAAAAAATGAAGACTATTGCAAAATTTGTTCGCGTTGGTGCATAAACGATTTAAGGAGTTAAATTTCCCATAAAGAGTCCGGTGAGTCTTTCTGTAGAATATAGTATGTATTCTTGGGTGAGAGGTGGGAACGTGGAATTGTAATTCTGATAGAATGTCGGGGTAGGTAATCAGCTGATTGATAACATTTCGTGGTATTATAAAATTTCTACGAGAAAGAAAAGTGCCGAATAAAAATGAAACAAAGATTGTAGGTAAAAACTATGAAATGAGGAAAGAAAACTTAATACAGGCATTTTCCACCGATGAGTTAACAGACCAGAAAAAAACGAAACATAATTTCTACCCGAACTCCAACCGCCGAGCTACGTGTGACTTCTGTTCGAGATTATTTCTAACACGATCGTTAACAATCGAGGGAACAAATGTTTCACAAAAATTAGCACTATCGAGATCGTGCTTTTACTAGTTCACTTTCCTGGCACGAGGAAGTGTCAGACCGCAAGGAAGCTAAATCTGACACTCGTAGAATCAGGGACTACGTTTTCGAGCCTCGCGCTCGCCATTGTAGTTTGCCGAATGTAGACAAGGACAACGAATAAAAGATAAGCATGAAACGTGAGTCGAGGCAACCAAACGATTTAAATATCAACTTTTTTAATTTTACGTTACTTTATCCCGAAATTTTTCTTAACATATGGATGAGATTTTTCTGATGAAAATGACATAAAACACGACATAATTTGAACAACATTTACTTATTAACACGTTCACGGTCATGCCAGATTTACAGGTTGCTGTCAGGCGGCCACAAGAAAATACATTTTAAGCATTGGATTATAGTATTATGCTTTATAATTTTTTTTTCAATTGAAAATAATGTCTAGCTAGCTATGACGTTCAAAATTTTTAGTTGACAACATTTATTTTATTTTAATTATTCTAAACATTTGAGGCACTCCAGTCACTGATGACCACCATGGCCATGTCGAGGAAACAATATAATGTTAATACTTATCGAGTGATTAATTTAATTTCATAATATATCGCTTTGGATGAATTACCAAAACAAATTGCTAAAAAGTTACATTAAATCCCTGTACACATTATCCGTCGAATGTAGAGGAAGAGCCACCGTTTGGTTGCCAATTGTTTATCACATAGAGTCGGCCTACCTCCACGTAAAAAAAAAAATGTAGGGTCGATTCCACAAGTGTTAGTAAAATGTAGAGTCAATAGCATAAGTGTCAGTAAAATGTAGGGTCGATAGCAGCAGAAAAGCTGCTAAACAATTAGAATTAAATGTAACGATAGAAATTATTGCAATAATGCGTAATGCAATTGAAAAATTGAAAGAATCAAAAGAAAAAACGCGAATTCGTATCTTTTTCGATTCTAGAATATAAGAAAATTTGAATAAAATACGCGACGAGAATTGGGGAGAAGCATAAGTTAAACGCGTAAAAATATTCAATAATAAACGAACTAGGAATGAAGCTATTATTTCAATACGCGATGCACTGACTCTAGTATTTACTAAAATTCAAAAATTCTCGTATAAATCCCGAAAATAGATTCTTAATTACGGTAAACTACTGAGACGGTTTAATTAAGGGTGGGCATGGTGCTGCTTTAGTTTGAAATGATTTATAAACACATAATTAACAGAGGAAAAACCGTGAAACGGCAAAACGTCTACATTCTAATTGTTATAACATGTAAACAGAACTTTAAATTTAGTGTAAACAGAAAAAATATATAATACAATTTATTTCACGGTATTGCAACAAATAAACGTTGAATCAATATTTAATTCGTATAAAAACAATTATTTAACGTAATAATTTTACCTTCACTATGGCTATTTTTAATCTACGACCACAGGTCAACCTGATTTCTAATCCTTACGAACTTTAAATTCAGTCTAAACTGAGAAAATATATAATACAATTTATTTCACGGTATTGCAACAAACAAACGTTGAATAGATTCTTAATTCGTATAGAAACATTTATTTAAAATAATAATTTCACCTTCACTATGGCTATTTTAAATTTACGACCAAGGGTCAACCTGATTTTTAATCCTCCGAACTTGATTTCACAACGAGAAAGTAATAAGATCGTTGAAACGTACTTATTTGTCAAAGAAACTTGCAAAAATGTATAAATAATAATATGTAATGTTTTAACAAATTTTTGGAAGTATAAATTAATAATAAAATTGTGAAAATTAATAAATTATACGTTATTATAACATTAATAGAATTATGACTAAACCGAAGTTCGAAGTCGAGTATTTAAAGTCTGATATTACGTGCCTAGCGAGTGCCGGTAATTGTTAAAATTTGTTTAATAATTAGTAATAGAAATTCTAATTGATTCTAATGTATACAAGTGTTACAAGAAGGCTGAGTGTGTACAGGGTGGACATAGACTAGCTAGTAGCCCCCGACCACTCTATTCACATCTCAGAACCTTCAGGTCAAAATACGCCGCGAAGTGTCTAGGGCCCAGTATAAAGGGTAAATGATTTCGCGGGACATCGGCGGGTCCTTATATACCTGCGGTACCCTCTCCCCAAAGTCATTAGCAAAATCGTCGGTTAGGTCAGGCGGGAAATTTTCGCGGGAGATTTTCGCGGGAGATTTCCGATATCGTAACACGGTATAATTTATCAATTTTCACAATTTTATTAAAAATTTATACTTCCGACAATTTGTTATAACATTGCATATAACAATTTATACGTTTTTACAATATTCTTCAATGGAAACATAGGTTTTAGCGTTCTCGTTACTTACTCGTGGTTAAATTAATTTCGTAGGGATTAAAAATCAGGTTGACCTGTGGTCGTAGATTAAAAATAACCATAGTACAGCTAAATTTATCGTGTTAAATAATTCTTCTTACACGAATGAAAAATGTATTCAACGTTTGCTTGTTACAATACCATGAAATAAATTATTTGTGCAGTTCTGTGCATTTTCTGTGCAGTTCAACCTAATTTACTTAAATTTACATTGCGAGACAGTATACTGTAACAAGTAGTAACAAGCAAACGTTGAATAAATTCCTAATTCGTATTAAAAAAATTATTTAACACAATAATTTCAGCTTTATTATGATTATTCTTGATAAATGACCACAGGTCAACTTGATTTTTAATCGTTATAATCTTTAAATTCAGTGTGAATAGAGAAAATGTGTAATATAATTCATTTCACGATATTATAACAAACAAACGTTGAATACATTTTTGATTCGTAGGAAAAGAATTATTTAACACGATAATTTTAGCTGTACTATCACTATTTTTAATCTACGACCACAGGTCAACCTGATTTTTAATCCCTACGAAATTAATTTAACCACGAGTAAGTAACGAGAACGCTAAAACCTATGTTTCCATTGAAGAATATTGTAAAAACGTATAAATTGTTATATGCAATGTTATAACAAATTGTCGGAAGTATAAATTTATAACAAAATTGTGAAAATTGATAAATTATACCGTGTTACGATATCGGAAATCTCCCGCGAAAATCTCCCGCGAAAATTTCCCGCCTGACCTAACGGACGATTTTGCTAATGACTTTGGGGAGAGGGTACCGCAGGTATATAAGGACCCTCCGATGTCCCGCGAACTTATTCACCCTTTATACTGGGCCCTAGACACTTCGCGGCGTATTTTGACCTGAAGGTTCTG